AATGCCCAGAATTATACTTTTCTTGTCTCTAAAAGTCCCAGCCTGTGTCAGGTCTAAGTGTGATAGGTATTCTAGAACTCAAGAAGGAAAGCACCAACTAACCTGAAGAGAACAAAACAACCATATATTTCAAGTATTATACCAAGTATGGGCCACCTAACAAAAATGAAGAAGAGCCCTAGAAGAAATGATACAGAACCCTGCAAAAAGGAGGGAAAAACTCTTCATCCCCATAAAGAATGCTTCCTTTGCTATACACATAGAGAAAACAAAAATACATAAGAATGGCATGCTTTCCATTCACATAGAAGATCTATAGGCCTCAAAGCTCCATAAACAAAGTAACTTAGTCATGGGAGAATAATGTTTTCATTCATAAAAACACTGGTCAGAAATTGTTTCATTAGTCTCTAGAATGTAATGCTGACTAACACGACGGAAGCATCAAAGAAACTGAGACTAGAAAACAGTATCTAGAATGCAAGTGGACAAATACGTTCAAAAGCCAATCTCTTTGTCTTAAACTATCACAGAAACAATAAGGGTACAGAATGGGAAGCAGTAAAAGGATGCCAAAAACATCCAAGCAAGCAAAAACTCGAGAAATTGCCTCAAGTAAACTCTCAATTGTTCATTACAATACAATTAGTACCAGATACCAATTCTTAGTTCTACAGTAAAGCACTTAAGTAGGTGAAAGAGTTTATGACAGAGATATGCCTCAGTATGCTAAAAGAAGACGTTGATGTCTTTCAAGTATGGGTGGCTGAAAGACACTGAGGAGGCACATTTATCTGTGCTGAATTTTACAGTTTTCATTCATCAAACCTATAAGTGGACTGAATAGGTCAAAGAAAAGTACATAACTTTATACAGACTATCCAATTTGGCAGAGCCAAAGAGGGATTCTCAATACAATGAATTGCCACCGTAATCATGCTTGCCATTTCATCTGTATAAACTATCACTAGAGAAAGAGAATGACGGTGAGAGAAGAGAGGAGGAGGAGAGAGTGGGTACGTTTTATTGATTGACAGAAACTTCACCCAATATACCTTATAGTTTGCTCTGTTGGTGAAGAGGTTCCATGTGGAACGCCAACCAAGCAAAAGTGCCACACCTGCCAACCAGAATATCTGATTCCCAAATGCCACAGTAAGGTTTACCCCCTTAAATTATGTTATTTTCCAAAGGGAAAAATCAATATTTAGGTTCTAAAGGAAAGCTTTACATTTCCCAGAGCAAGCAAACCACGGTCAAAGAAAAGAAGTATGCCAAGAAATGAGAAAAAGATGCCAAAGCCAATTAGGCCAATGCCAGCCTCTGCAATGTAAGAAATTCAAGGTCAAAAAGACATTTAATGATAGACAATTAATGATGTCCAAATATGCCAGTAATAATGCACATACTCATATACCAAAAAAAAAAAATGTAATTCATATATTCAACTAAAATTTTCATGTCCAGTTAAGAAAGTTAAGAAAAGTCTTAGAATCCATAAAATATTACGATGAATAAAGCCAAATTTTCTGAAGAGTTCAAACTCAATAAACCACAAAGCATTCATATCTATGCGCGCAAAAAGGAACTTATGCACCTGCCAGGTTAAATGCTCGAGAAAATTAATAAAAGAATAAAAATCTTTAACATTGAAGAGAACTAGATCAATCTGTTCAAATATAGAAGAACACCAACTAACATTTCAAATAGTTCACAACTTGTAAGCATCAGAGATCGATAGCAACAGCTCCGCTTAAATTAACACTCAAAGCAGTTTAATTTTCACAGAGTATATTTATCAATAGAGAACTGAATATTGAGCATGCCTCCTAGTGCTATGAAATGAACAGCTCTTACTCTTTATCTCGCTTATCTCATAGGCCATATTGAATACTAAAGCAGCACCAGATGAGGCAAGGACAAGAAGGGACCTCAAAAGAAACTGCAACGAATGGAGAAAATCATATTAGATCATTGATACACATGCTCGTAAATATGTTAAAAGAAATATACACAACAGGACGGCGCTAGTAGCACTTTCAGATCCTGTGGTAGTCATCATGAGATTGCTTCACATTACTTATCTGAGAGCAGAGGAGCTTCTTAACACTTAGCAATTAAACCCAACCCCCCCCCCAAAAAAAAAAAAAAAGAAGTCACGCCTTATTGCAGTCGGGGAACCTGACCAAATAGCATTATCGTGACCCTAATTGTCATCAAAAATTTAAAACCATGGTAACACTTAAATTACAGGCTATGTAAAGACACAAAGTTGCAACACTACAGCTGAAGACCAATGGTTTGTACGATTACAATTGCTAAGACCGGCACTATGAGAACAAAGAAAGAATGATTGTGAGACAACCTTTCATGCATTTCACCAGATAAATATTCTTGGGGATCAATTCCATTGTGATTGACTTTCAAAATAACATTACTTCACGAGATTATTAATACCCTGGACAGATTTCAATGTCACGATTTACAGCAAGAGTAAAAAGTGGGAATTTTCAAAAGATAATTGAAATTTTGCCTGTGTGTTTCTAAGTGCGAAGCAGGGTAAATGCTGCAGTTTCCAGACGCTTCATGCTGCTAACCAGAATTTCAGTTTAAACTTGAAAGCCGGGGCCGTTCATGCTCCATGTGGATTTGAGTATTAAAAAAAAAAAAAAAAGCAAGCTATTTGAGCATTCCCCTGAGCGAGTTAACGAATATAACGGAAAACAAAGAAAAAATGGTTAAGAAAAAAGAATCAGAATCCAGCCGCATCAGATTCAAAGCAGCGCGCAATCAAGATTCATAAGGCGACGAGAAGAAAGAGTTTTTCTACCTTGAAATGGCGAAGTCTGCGAAATGACTAATGACATTGAGCGCGAGAGTCGCTATGTTTTATGGACCTGGGCATCTTAATGGGCCTATTCTGATCCAAACTCTCATGGGCTTGACAGCAATCTCAAAAGGTTTAGCCCAAGAAATTTCAAAGTCAGTCTTGGGCTGTTACCAAAAAATTTCCTCTGGAGTCAGCCACTTCATACTGTTAATAATAATCCTCCGGTCCTTAATATAGGACCCAATTCTTAAGTTAATTTTGATCCTAAATATAAGATCCGTTTATCATATTTATCAATTTTCTCTAGATTACCCCCATGGATACTCCCTCAACCATAATCAAGTAGAAGAGGGAGAAGGGTGTTAAGAAAGATGATTATGGTATTTTAGGAAAAATATGTCACATTTCTCATAATTAACTAACTTACCTAACTTCCTTAATGTAATCAAATTAGTTAAATGAGTCTTATATTAAGGACCGGAGGAGTACTTACTTATGGCGATATAAATTTGTAATAATAACATGATAAATATGTGAATTTTCGTTTACCCGGCGTGTGATTCTGCAACTGGACCATATATTTGCCATGCTTTGATTAAAATTAATATATTTATTCTGACACCAACAACGCCTATCACTCAGTCTATTGCGTATTTGGGTGTTGAATAACAGAAGCGAATAATTTAACTTGAATCATTCGAGGGAGTCTGCTTAAACAAACTAAGCTAACCTCGTCTGACATTCAAAGATTTTGCCCTGGCAAGGCCACATCTCAATACATCAAAGGGTCAGACTCTCGCCTTTGAATATCAGGACTAAGAAATTTAGAGACTTATCACTAAACACTCCTTAATAGATTATAGTCAAATTCTGTTTTCTGATACACAGGATTCTCTTAGAGAGGCAAACGCAGAGCATACTCAAAATCTTTGATAACAGGAAAAGAATATTACATAAGTTAGGCTTTCAGAAGAGAAAAAAGCTTTAGAGAGTATTTATAGATTGATATTATACAAGAGAGTTCATACAGCTCCTTCTATTTTATCACTTGGCAAAGACTGTTTATATAGACTCTAAGATTACAATATAACAAATAAACTAAAATAATTACACAAACATAAAAGTAAAGATTCCAGACAGACACATGACATAAAGGCAAATATGTCCTTAATTATTAAACTGGGCAAGCACTCATAAACTCAAAACAAATTTAAGGTAGACACGTGACACAGATATATGAGTCACTCTTAAAGTAAATTCCTGATAAGTCATCCTTATTTTTAGTCCTTGAAGATAGGTTTATGACTTGGAGACAAATTCATGTAATCTTCTGGATCAGAATTATCTAGATCAAAGTCATAGATTCCTGATGTATAGTGGAGATGAGAAGATGACAGTGATTTTGGTTAAGGAAGTTAGAATCTTTCAAGCCGAATGAGTTGGATCTGAGAATCATTCATCACAAATTATTAATTTTATAGAGCCCCGGTATCCATAACCAGGAATGGTTAGTGTATGTGCGCGCTCAGGCTCACGCAGTCATTTCCAATCAATAGAACATTTAAAATGCGTAGGGTGTGGAGAATTACACTCTTTATAAGCTGTCATTCTTTTCAAACTTAATAAAAAAATGCATTTTATTTTTCTAATAATTTTTCTATTCATTTTACTGAACTCTTAAGAAATTTTTTTAATTCCTTCAATTTTTGTACATATTATTATAAGTCTAAATATTTGGGAAAAATAAGTACATTACTTGAAAAACCTTAATTATATGGGGGGAAAAAGCAGTGGACTTGTATGGGGAAAAGAAAGCATTTGAATCTTCCTATTTCCATTCCTGATCCTAAAATAAAGCATCGCTGCCCCAGCTAATGGAGGGAACTAGCATGCTTATTTTGATGTATTTTTTTCAAGTAAAAGTTTGTGTAAAAATTATATATAAGAACATTTATACTGATGATTCGGAAGGCAAGTGTTGTTACTTAACAGTTTTCTTTAAGCACAGCATCCTTATGTCGGAGACCCTACGTAACATGGCTAAGAATTGAGTACATGAATGCTTTTTGTCAAAATTATATATTCATTGTGATCCCATGCAATATATAAAACGTGAGAAATGCCGGCAAAACAAAACAGTGTGTGAGAAATGAACCAGACTTTTCTTGACTTATAAATAATAAAAATCTTTTAAATTTTTATTTCCTTAAGGATAGTGATTGTACATAAACGGGTCATACAAAGAACCTTGTTATATTGAATCGGACCATTTAGGACCTGTGAATTTAAATTACAAGGATATAGTACAATATATCATGAAAAAATTAGGCCTACCTTTCATAGCAGGTAATATATTCTTAAGAGTGACAACTACATATGCTCTCATTATTTACTCACGCAAAGAGGTTCCATCGCTTGACTGGGCATTTCGAGCCTCCAGTAGTTTTTGCAAGGCCATATGACATCTAAAAATCGAAAATATGACCAAAACAAATGTCATCAAACTAGTTAGGTTAGGACGCAACAATCATATATGGCAACGAGAAAAAGACTTGGTTTGTGGCTCGTCATACCTCCAAGGGAGATGGTCAAGGAACATGGATGGTGAAACAACAATATCTTTGAATTTTTCTCTATCTGCTATATAAGCTTTGTAATGATTTTCCTTCCCCCGCAGTCTAAAAGGTGTCCAAAGTGCATTATGGGAGTTTTTAGGTTCTGGCACGATATGAATTACAAGTCCTGGAAGATAAATGTCGGGGTGGTTGCTGGCTGCCTCATTTTCTGTAGTTTGGACCACATCTATCAAATGAGACACAAGATCACTGTTTGAATTCACATCTGCAGCAAAAGGATTCGTGAATTCGCCATCATGAATTTCATCACCTTGGTCTTTTGTTCTATCGCCAACCCAGAGAGAATGCTCTTCATGCTCACTGTTGCCTGTAGTTAAAAAGAAAGCACTTAGAGACAGAATCTCTAATTATGCAGGACTGGTGCATGGTTTCCCTGATTCATGATGGCAAATAACAATATATGATATTTCCATGGAAGCTATCAGCACTGTAAATGATTTACAACCTTCACTGGCAAAATAATTTGTGAATTCACTGTTGTCACTTCTTACACGACCGCATCTGGTAGCTTCAGACCAGAGCGGAAATTCTTGAATGTCTTCTTCCGTGTTACCTGCACCATTAATTAATACTGTTAGTAAGCACCTTTGACCAACAAGCCTGATGAAAATATCGTCCCCAGTTTTCATCATTGATCATAAAATCAGCAACATACTCTCTTCTACATGCCAACAATAGATCAAGACACTATGAACAACCTATAGTACTAATCTCAGTCTGGCTTCTGCATAGTCGATGGTTTAAATCTTCGATAGGGATGGCCCCCGAATAATAATCAGATTGATCCTGAGCTGAAGTAATCTCACTACTTTCACATTTGCTCTTGTATAGAAACTGACGGGCAAGTTGGAAAATCGTGTCAGCATCAGCTCTAGGATATTCTGACAGAGAAGTGATTGCAGCTGCCCTTAACCGCAGAACCGATCCAATTGAAAGGCATGATGAAAATTCATTGCCAAATATAATACTGCATAAAGAATAAATGATTTAAATGAAATAAACAAAACACAATAAAACTAGTGCATAAATTCCCACTGCAATCACCTTGTCACAAATCCCGAACATGCATTTGCCACAGCCAAATCCACACATGGGAGTGGCCCATATGCATAGACACGCAGATTAGGATAGAGGTGATATAGCTGTGCAGAAGGTAACAAAAAAATGAACATAAAAAACTAAATGATGCAGAGAAAATGCAGCACTCAAGCCAAATAAGAAAGGAAAATGATAAGGAAATGCTCTCCATCAAACAGAATTATTATTCTAGAGTACTAAAAACATACAAATGAAAAATAATCCTTATAGCATTATAAGGTCGAGAGAAACAAGCCTTTTCCCCCCCCGATACTAATAAAGGGAACTATGCATCCAATGAAAGAAAAGGAGCTCGTAAAAATATATACCCCCCATTAGAAGGAACTCAAACGAGGTTTAAATTCTTGTATTTGATTTTCTAAAATTTGGACAAATCATTCTTATACATCAGTTAGAACAGAAGTAATTGTTAATTTCCTTTCACATACTCAGCAATCATTTTCATAAATCTGTTAGTTGTCTGATAGTTTTTGCTGAAGGATTTCAAATGCAAAGCTGTGCTAATAAAATAATAAGATTGGGATCCAGATAAATGCGCTATGTTCCCTCCTCACAAAAAGATTGGACACAAATGGCTAGCATATTCGCATCTATGATCCGCATAGGTGTAAGGAACCAAGGACATGCAATATTTTGTTCACAATACCCTGTATTCATGGTAAACTCAATGGTTTTGGCCAAAAAACCCAAAAAAAAAAAAAAAGTTGTAAACTCAATGCAATGAAAATGGAATGTCATTATGTCAACCAAAAATATCATTTTAAGTAAAATGTCGTACTCGTATTCCAAGCAATGCAGCAATAGCACCTCCAAGAGAATGCCCAACTACCCGAACCTCATACCCAAAGCATTCACAGCCAACTCCCAATAAGGTAGAAAGAAGACCACTGGATTCTGCATGCCCATTCCCGTTAACACGAGTTGGCCAACATGAGGATTAAGTAAGAATGTCAAGTGCACCTTAATAGTTAAAAAAAAAAAGACATGTTTGAACTAGGAATGATAATATAAAGCACCGTATTGTAGTTAATTAAATAATCATTATATGATGACTTATTTTTCTCGCACAATGACCACATGAAAGGAGTAGAAAGAGGCAAGGGGGTAAAAGGGCTCAATGTCCTAACTTTCAGGATGAAATACCCAAGAGTTCAAAGAACCAGAAGGGCTTCTCACCATGTTCCCCAGGATTTCCTTCAATCTGCATAAAAATCTCCCGGGCAGCCTCAACGATACCTGAGTGCCCATAATGGGGGAATGAGGAGGTCACACTTTTCCTTACATCAGAATGACTGTGGTGGCAGCTGTCAATAGGTACATAAAGCATTGGAGTGAGTAATCAATTAAGGACCCGAACAAGCAAAAGATCAAACATTTTAAGAGTAAAAAACTAGAACAGTAAGAAAAAAGAAAGCTCAATGTAGGAGATAATACTAAAAGTAGAGCTTCTCATGATGCTTCCTGGAAATGTCAAATCCTCATATGGTTCGCCATTTGCCATTGTGTGGCTTAGAAATGTACTTAATGGTTTCATATAAGATTCCTTGGCATGTAGCCATCTTCAGCGTAATTCTTAAATCATGTATCTGACCTGACTACCTAACTTGTAGTGTTATTCTAAAACCATATATTTGATCTGACTACCTAACTTCAATACCAGAGAACTGGCTGAAAGATTCGAAGATATTCCTTCATTAATGTGTCAAATTCTAGTGCTGCACATTTTCACTTACTCTGATCCTAGAGTGGTTAGCTTTCAAAATTAAATCTACATACGTCATAGCTTTTTAAAGCTAAATACTGCAAACTGTAGTTTTTAGAGCAACATAGAGCTGCAACAAATTTCTTGCCAACTCAATATTGGGTCACTTTGAATGAACTGAATAACTAATGGCTCAGAAGTTGGAACTCAACTCAGGTCAAATTAACAAAGGAAATCATTCAAGTATGAGATGGCTAGGGATGTTGTTGAATAGTCAAGAATAATAGATTGGGTTGATGAGGGAGATACTTAAGGGGAGAAAAGAACAAGGGGATTCCATCCATGGTAGGAACAAAGATGTCCTCTTGCACCTTTAGCATTTGCAAAGTTACAAATGCAGATAGTTAAAGAAAGGAAGAAAGGAAAATACTTTATTAGACCAGCCAAATCCTCTGCAGAGAGGGTGCATTCCTTGCATAACCCATCAGTTATTAGGTCCTCAGGGGTCTCAGTTCCACGAATAGTGATCACCACACATCTTAGACTATGCAGAACCACAACGAAGTATGCAGCTTCACACTTGACCTATCATGAAGAATAGACAAACAAATTAATCATGAATGTAAGTTAAGCCATTCCATAATCACAGCATTGTACCCAGAGGAACGAAGATGTGTGCATCTCAAGTTGGGCAGGTCTGATTTCCCACATTTAGAACTAAACCTAAAATTGGGGTTCCAAAACCAAAACAAGTGAAATGCTTAACCAACAATAACGAGAGTGCAGGAAGTTGATTCGGTTCATTTCACCAATGAGAAAAATTCGTGAACAGAATATATTTTAGTACGGCTCTATGACTTAATAGACCATTGAGTTGAGAAACTGAACGCTAAATTATACATATGGTGCCTACTTTACTGCATTTACATTTAAGCACCTATGCTTTAACAAGAACCCATTGGCCCTGAGTATTGTGAAAGTGGATTAGAGCAGATTAGCGATTAACTGAATAATCTCACCTGGTTGATACGTCCATGTCTGAGCACTTCAGGGGGTAAATTGACATACTTCAGAAAGGCTGCTGCATGACCTCGCCACCAGTTATCACCAGCTAATACAGGTCGTCTAAAGGAAGTGGTCTCAAAATGATGCAGGAGGATAAATAGGGTATCCAACAAGATAACACCAGCCCCAGTTCAATAATAAAAAAATAAAAAACACCTGCTGCGTCTCCACGGGCACAAAACTCCTTGTCTGTGGAGCCATACACAAGGAAATATGAAAGGATTTCGCCCAACATCAAGTAATGGACCCTGCTTAATAGCATCAGATAAATGCCCAATTTAAGTTAACCAGCAATAAATGCATTCAATTTGCAAGAAGTATTTTGATCTCCCTACCGTGTAGGCAGCTTCAGCGAATTTATGGAGAGCCGCAGCCTCCCAGATATGCATTTCTGGTGCTTCTATGCATTCATCAAAGGATTCTGAAGATTTTCTACCCCTTTGAAGTAAAACCAAACCTGAAGAACAAAAACATCCATGTCATACAACACAATGGTAGCACGATGCTGAAGTTGAAATTGGTAAAATGGAAACACAAAATGTTATTTGGATTACACGTCCCTCAACACCTGAATCTCTCAGTTTGATCAATTCTAGCAGGGCCATGTATTTTGTAAGCATAGTATTGACTACTGGATACAGTGGCAGACAATGGATGCTGAGAATCTGAGATAAATGGAAAGGATGTAATTTCAGGAGTTCATTTAAAGGTGACAAGAAATCAGTCGCTACTGAGGCATGACTGTGACATATATTCCCCAAAAATGAAAAACAACCTTAAAGTAAAATCTTTCATATAGTGAGCTATAACCGGAAGGATTAAGGCTAATGCTATGGTAAAAAGGCCTAAGAAAATGCATTGCTTCAATCATTTCAATGTGATAAATTTTAAAGCCTTTTAAGCTCCATGGCAAAGAGGAAACTGTATCATCCTTTGGTGTCTTTAGCTGATGAGGGAGTCTCATATGTGGAAGGGGAAAGATGTATCCCTGGATTTCATATGCTATTGAATACGTTTTTTAGGTGTCTCTTTAGTGTTCAGTACACTGATTCTTTCAGAAAATTTTTTCAGTAGCGACATAAATGCAGAGAAATCAACCACCTGCCAGGAGTTCCAAATGCCCCGTGCCAGATGCACGATATGCAACAAGATCACCCAGTAACTGAGCAACTGAATAGACTTCATCTTCTTCCATCGTACTCCTGGAGAATTGGGCAGAAAACTAGAGATCAGAGTTTAGATATAAATCAAAAAGATTTATTAGGAAAATCAAACAGCAGAGGAACATGCATGTATCTGAACCGGCCTAGACAGCACAAAGTCTCCCGTAGGCCATGATCAAACACCTCCCTATAGTGGTGCTTCCAAGCCTTATCATGGGTTTCATAAAAAGATCTCCATTTAAGAACATCAGACCCAATAAAGCACTGCACTAGGGCAACAAAACATATCATAACCATGAATAAAGCCAGTAACTTCTGCTTCCACCAGCTTGATTTTGAGTCCAATTCTGCATTACAACAATGGCAGAACACAACTGTAAGATTCTCTCAGATATATGCTGCTAATAACCGTTAAGTACACCAACAGACTCTGAAGTAGAACATGAAAATGTAGCCATAATAGTAAAATAGTACTTTTTCTAGTTGACTGGCCTTTTCTCTTTAGGAGCACAGGTGATAAGTAATAGAATATAAATGAATGTTTTCAATTAAGAACATGAGCTGGTTTGCTAACATCATCAGCTCCTATAAGGTCGAGTAGATACTTATTTCTCTATTAGAAAGGGCCTAGAATTAATTTTGGCACATTCTACTAATAATCCAAACATTGCATAAACTAGTAAATTTTAATAATAGGGCGTTATCTGAAGTATTATCAAACCTCAAAACCGGCTTTAAATTTGGCCTTTGTGTAGAGATAAACAAAGTAGTGTTGCGGTCAAGTCACCCAATTCCTTTCTCAATTCACTAATGTTCCCTTCCCTTCACAGTATGTTTTAGGAATTTTTCCCTTTTGAAAATATTTGAGTCCCTGGACAGTGATGAACATATCATGAAATTTCATTTGCTCTTTCTTTAACCATTTAGCATCCTGACATTTCTTCACTTATAGTAGTCTAAAACTAAAGCCAGATGGACTTTGTGAAGGAAAGTTGCCCATATCTCCACCAATATTTAGTTATCAGTTATCATGGTCACTGAAATATCTTAATAACAATCAGAACCGCAGGAATTTATTCATTTTGATCACTGCCCTAGTGATAGTCATGTTGGGTAGTGGTTAGGCATCTCAGATTGCCCATGTGACAATTTCTATAATCATTTTGGTCCAACAGCAAGCAGATGAATGTAGTTTCTGGTTTTCTAGGCCGTCATAAGATGAAAGAGGTAAACTTTCTTAATGAAAGCATATATTATGCGCAAAGATGAATGAATTGATGCAAATATATATGCACGCATATGCTATCCAAATAACAGATGTTTGATGATCATGCAGAATCAAAGTATTAGTTGAAAGCATAAATCAAGACAAAGAAGCATAGGGGAACTCACCTTACCTAAAACACAACCACTTGATGTCCTATCTTTTGAGAAATACTCAGTTGTCTTTAATATAAGGTATGTTGCACACACAACTTGCAGCACTAAAACAACCATCGATAATCGACTCCACCATAGCCATTTCTTATACCTTATCTATTTCTTGCAAATTATAGAATACATCATGTTAATTCACATAATTATACAGATCAAACGGTTTAGGAATCACAATAATCAAGTTTCACGTATCATTTAAAAATAAAGTGATTGAAATGAAAGATGCTAGACATAACCCAACCATGAAAAATGAGAGCTACATGATATAAGAAAAGAACTGCCAAATGCATAGTATGTAGTTGCAATTAAAATGCAGCTACAGAAAATATCCATAGAGCCTAAAGACAACATCTGCCTCTTGTACCACTTTAGATTAGAACCTACGGCACCGAAGATAAGCTAACAGATTTTCCACCAGTTATGCGGATATTTTGTTGAATATATACTTCCTTTGTGACAACAAATTGAATTCTGAAGGGACGTTAAAATCAATCAAAATTTCAATGATTGTCGTCCACTCCCATAGGTTCATTGAGCTACACGAACAGGATTAAAACAGGACACACATGGTATATAAAATTCTACTTCCTGATCTAACATCCACAAAGACTGAAATGAGATGAGCAAGTTGCTTGATTACCCGTCTCTCCAGGCGAATTACTGGATCAGCAACAACGGTGCCGTCGGATGGACACTGAAGGATGCACTTGGCAGTAGTTTCTTGAGCAATTCCAGTTTGGATCATGACCCCAATTCTCACAACCGCGGCAACAGATACAAGGACGAATGGGACCACATATTGGCGGTCGCAGAGCGGGTAAGCCTCAATAACGAGAAGCCCGCCGAGAATAATGACCAACAAGTTGGAAACACCCGTGAAAATGGCGGTGCGTCTAAATTTCGTCAGCCCCGAGACCCACATTGTCACTGCGATTAAGCAGTACAACGGGGCGATTAGGATTGAGCGGAGGAAGGAGCGGGTTTGGTTTAGCGATTATATGCTTTGCTTGGGGGACATGCAAGCCACAAAATATGGCCGGTTTGGCTGGAGAGTTCTGTGCGTTGTTGAATTGCAGATTCCACCATCATCATTGGTCTCCCTAAATGGTTCCGCTTAGCGATTAATTCGACGCTCTTGTTGCGAACGGAAATAGTCGAACTGCAGTGGGGAGATAAAATTATTGAAATATATCAGATTAAACACTCAATCTAACTAAATTAAAATTCTAGTCGCATACCATCTTATCTTGTTCACTACGAAATTTACTTTGGAACCATCAAAATCACAAATGCACGTTCATTTCCACTCTCTTCTGTTTGATGCCATTTGTTAGATGGATTGCATTTTGCCTCGGTGCAATTTGAATCCACGAATTCTGTATAGCTGAGACTCTTCCTAAACCGAGGGAAATCGATGCCCAAAAAACGAGGGAAACGGAGTAAATTTAGAATATAAAACTGATGATTTTGTAATGGGACGTGACAATTAAAAAGAATCCATTAATTCAATTATACAATTTGTTTGGTAGAATATCATGGCGCTGGACTGCTGTTAATTCCTATATTTTATGGATCGAGTATGTACATTACAATCCTGTTTGGATCTTTGGCGATGCGGTTTTTCACTTTTCTAACAAAATCTGTGTCTGTGTATAGTTCGAGTTTAAGATCTTCTAATACTTGTCATAAATAATTATTTAAAATTCGTGCATAACCAAAAAATCATTAGATAATAATCACTCACAATTATAAATTATTTTACATAAATAAAAAAATTATATATTAATTTGCATCACTTTTTAAAGGTAGTTTTGCTTTAGCCCCATCACCTCTTAAGTAAACAAGTACTTGTATTTTAAAAGATTGATGATTGGCCCGATTTCCCAGTGCTGTCGTCTCTATTCCCCTCAGTACCAAATAAGTTGTGATCCCAGCCCAACAACAACACCACTCACCTCCCCCTGTCTGCAGCGTCCGTTGGGGGGACGCCGAAATGAAAATGTCAAACCTTTGTTATAAATACGTACTATGATTTTTTTTTGGGCCACTGTCAGTTATTCGTCTATATTTTTTATCTTTCAATTTTATATAAAATTTTAATTTAGTCTTTTTAATTTTAAAAAATATACTTTAAATTTTTTAACTTTAAAATAATTAAAAAAATGATGATATTGATATCTTCATAAAATACGATCAAATGCTAATACATTAAATTTAATTTTTTATAATAAAAATATTTTTTTATTTTTTATTTTTACCCATGCACCAAACATGTCAAGTAGTTGTAGGCCCAACAAATGTAATTGGACCTATGAATGGGCCCCCCTCACTTCAAAGTTAGTGGCACGCATTTGACGTCTATGTTGTAGTAGTGCTTGCTCTTTTTTAATGTATGTATATAATGGCAGTTCTTGCTCGTAAATTTAAAATGTATGCATATAATTATAATCTTTAGTTTTATGAACTATAAATAAACAATATGTTCTGAATCTAATATATGTTGATTAATAAATTATGCATTGGTTGTCTTTTGACCTTTGCGTCCCTTTTTTTAATTAATTTCAAAACCACATTCCTACTTCTTCTCTTCATTTATTTTCATTTCAACTCTCTTTTTTTTTCACTGGGAACTTCACCCAGTCTTGAATATACAGCACAACGTCCAGGTTAAAACTCTAATCTGTGTATCTTTCAAAATCTTCTGTGGATTCTTTTCCCCAAAAAAAGGCGTATGGGAATCGCACAGCTAATCACATAAACAAACAATCAATAGTGGAGTTCCCCCCCCCCCCTTTCTGCGCATCGATATTCTCTCATTTAAGACACTTTCCATAGATGTTCAAATCTTAGTTCCTCATTATGATAAATTTGAAGCACTGTCAGGTACTAAATGTGGGCACCTCTCCCAGTGAGGATTTAAACCTTGATTCGCCACGTTGGGAGGGACTGGCCCCTTCCGCTAAACCTAACCCCGTTGGTTAAACCCTAGGGGATTTGATTTGACTCGTTATGATTATTTGCTTAATAATGATTCCTTTTTATATAAAATAATATTTCATTAATTATTTCTATTGGATTGAACAAAGATAGAGGACACATGAAAATAAAAAAATACTGAAAAGAGGTCGGTATTTGCACGTGAGAACGTGATTTGGACCACGCGGGCCTCGCTTCGTGAGGGCTGATTTTGGTCCCTGGTAGTGGCTGGTCGGTTCCCTGCCTCCCACGAGTCATCACACAAGCAAGTCCGCCTTCCTCTTTGCTTTTTAGTAATGAAGCATTTCATTCCAACATCATCGGTTGAACAAATATTCAAAGCAAAATTCATAAACTATTATTCTTTTACATATCTATCTAATATTTTCTACTATTCATATTTAATATTGTTAAACTTTAATTATGACCATTTTTACAATGGAGGCGCCGTAACCTCTTTTGTTGGAAGATCAACAATGACTTTAATAAAGTAGATAAAACACATTGCTTTAAAATTTAACATCGTCTTGTAAACACCTAAATTTAGTCCTATTTATTATATGTCATCAAGAGAACCTTTTATCATATTTATAAATTATAAGTTACCTCATTTTTTTTTTTTGTCATGTATATACAATCTTATCTTTTATTTATCATGTAAAATGTTTTTTTTAAATATATACTCCTCCGGTCCTTAATATAGGACCCAATTCTTAAATTGGTTTTGGTCCTAAATATAAGACTCATTTATCATATTTATCAATTTTCTCTAAATTACCCATATAGATACTCTCTCAACCATGATCAAGTAAAGGAGGGAGATGAGATATTAAGAAAGATGATTGTGGTGTTTTAGAAAAAATGTATCATATTTCTTATAATAAACTAACTTACCTAACTTCCTTAATTTAGTCAAATTAGTTAAATTGGTCTTATATTAAGGACTGGAGGGGTATTAAATATGGATGGGATTAAAAAGCCATTAAATTTTAAAAGAAATTTAACAAACTTTAAGATTTTTTAAAATTTTAATAAAACATATTAAAAGCGACCTGTAAATAATATTAGGCTTAATACTTTAAAACCATGAATAAAAATTTGAAGAAAATAATAGCAGTAACAAACTGTCCAATGGCCTGTTTGGTCGCTCCACGTACAGTTGGGTTGATGGAATATGATACCCTTCACACCACCAAACTGCTGCCCTTTGTTTGTATAAAAATCTCATTTTTATCTTACATATCCACCAAGCCAACTGCTCCGTCCCATTCTTCACGCAAGAGGTCTTTTTTGGGTGGGCATTGTTCTATTACAAGACACGTTGGTGGCTAGAAATTTAACCAACTTATTTCATTTCTGCCCTCGTTGATTGCATGCCACTACCTCCGTCATGAATATGAGAGTTACATGAGAAATTTATTTTGATATTAAACGTAAGATATTAAGTTCACTTTTTTTTCAGTTTTATAATCTCTTTTTCTTAAAATATTTGTATTGACTGCGGATATTTCGTTAAGAAATAATTATAATACACATTATTAGAAAATGTGATATAAGAAAATTAATTCACGCATGTTATAAATAACTAATTTATTCAGTATACTTAAATTAATTAGTCAGTTCTTATATTAAAAAGCATACATAATATATTACTGCTTTAAAAAAAGAGGTAGTATTATATTAATTATCACCTTTTTTCTGCTCGTTCTCGCTCGTTCTCTCTCAATAAATATATAAAAGCATTTTTAAAAATAAATTATAATTTTTACTTTTCTATTACATTTAACCAAGTCCTTTCACATGATTCAGTTATTTATATACTGCATATGAAATCCGAGGGTGCATTAATTATACACTTAGACGGAGACAAAAGTTATAAATTAACTTTTTGAAAAAATAAGTATAAATTAACTAACAATCATAACAATCTGTAAATTGCATCTTATATATATCCGGGGACAAAATAAAAGTAAAAATTAGTACGAGTATATTTATATTTAGGACGGAAAACATATGGTACCACTATATCTTCAACATTTTTATTAATACCACGACACGGAGAGAGGGGGAGGTAGCAATCTAAACACATAAAAAATGTGTGGTCTGCTTAATAAAAATTAGTTCCATTTTCTCAGTTCTGATTAAATTAATATTAAAAGGGAAAAATAAAAACAAGCTCGAAACGTTCAATATCAGGCCAAGTTCAGATTTCTTTAAAACGACAGCCCGACAAAAACGAAACTGAAGGGACGAGACAAACAACGACTAGGACGAAACATAAGTGACATTAATATAATTAGCTGATTAACAACGGATAGGACGAGACACACAGGTTTGTACTTTAATTATGTTATGGGTATTAGTGGGGAACGGAGGAGCAATGGATATATAACGAAGAAGCCACATGTGAGCCTCAACTTGTGACTATTATTCTCAGAAGAACAAGATCACAAGTACGAAGCCTCTGGAGAAAGGTTAAAAGTTAATGTAAAACGACAGGGAAGGGGAGATTAAGATTAAACTTAATAGTATGGACATTGAAAAGTTTGATGTGCAAGGCATAAAGCGTCAAAAAAAGGTCAACAGTGGTACTATTCTAGGAGCTTCTTATGTTAGATTAACAAGAAGAGGCCCCATCTCCCGACCAAAAAAACAGAGGGGCCGAGAAACGACAAACCTTGTCGCAGCAACGACAACAGTTAAAAGACGACACTTTGTGTTTAATTATTTTCCAGGTAAAAATACTTCTGTACTTGCTGGTTTTACATTATAAGTGAGACAGGAAACGTGCCTGCCACTGTCCCTTAAATATGCAGCAAACTATCACCTTACCCACAAATCATATCTAATATTTTCTTATCTTCAAACTAATCAGCTTTTACGATATCAATTCAAATCATTAATCAGTAATCAGGCAAGTTTTATGAACGTTTTCGAAATTTAAACTCTTCGTATTTACATTAGATTTTTTTTTTTTTTGGGTTGGGGGGGAATTTGTAGAGGGCACCTCATAAATTGAATTTCCTGGGCACAAATTTCCGGCCCATTTGATGCGCTGGCTATCCCGAAAATGCATTTATTTATTTATAATTTGTCTGCCACAAATATTGTAGATGGGCGCAATTTTTTCCCCTACACATATGTATCCCTCTATTTTAGGCCATTTTATTTGAATATTAGTTCATCACATTATAAGGAATTGGCTTTTTCGGCAAGACTCAACTTCTATTGGTCACAATTTTACATCACAGTTGAATTCAATGTGTTTACCAAGATTAAAGTTTGACATAGCAACGCCTTTTCGGATACTGTTAATTATTATTGGGTGATTAAAAGTAAAGTGCTGTTTTAACTAGTGATTAATCTTTTATGAACATAAAATTTAATCAAGACCTTCTTAGATCTAACTCATCAAACAAAAGGATGTCATTGGAATTTTTAAGCATTAAATTGATGACGTTAA